CCTACCACTGTCACATTTGCAGGTTGTCCCATTGTTGGTAAATGACAATTTTGCCCCTTCAAATTAATTTTGAAAAAAGTGAGGTTAGGGACAAAATTTTCATTTCAGCCTCAAACATCATTTCAAATATATTTTTCAATACAACAATTTAAATAAAAATCCATCCTATCTTCCAAAACACAAAAACTAAAATAATCTACTAAAATAACCAAAAAGTCAAAAAACCTAAAAAATAACCACTTCCCAAACACCTACTATATATTTATTGTATATCATATATATAAATTTTCAAAGACAATACAATTTCAGCCTTTACCACTATAACACATTTTTGCATAAGCTCTAATAAATGTGTTAAAGTCACATGTTAAAATTGTCAATTGTTAACTCTATCACTAATTGTGGCTAGCCAAATTTACAAGTAAAAATGAGCCTCACACCCCTCTAATGCTTCACTCTCCCTCTCTCTGTATCTACAAAATAGGTTTTTCTCTATAAAAATTGTAATGCTTATTTGTGTGTATATATATATATATATATGAGAGGGAGATTTATAATGTGGCGTTGGGCCGTGGTAGAAGCCGGGAAAAGAGAGGTCCGAGCATGTTTGGGCCGAGCTAACGTGGGCTTGTCCGGAGTTGGTTTGCTCGGTCGAGGCCTAGATCCCATGTTTGGGCCGAGCTAACTTGGGTTAGTCCAGGTTTGGTTTGCTCGGCCAGGTCCTAGGCCCATGTTTGGGCTGAGCTAACTTGGCCGAGGTGATTGTCGGCCGACCTTGGTTTCACGGTTCGTGCATTTAGGTCGGCGAGAAGGCCTTCTGAAGACCGGCTTAACCTATCTGGAGCTCAGTCGTACCGAAATGCTACTAAGCTCGGTTTTGGTTGAGTTCGGCGAGTGGTGCTGTCGAACTCGTTATGTAGCCCGGTCATATGAGTCCGAGGTGACACCGCCGGGCTGCCCCGTTCCTAGTAACGTTGTCTGTTGGTTTGAGTAGGTGGTGCTTAGCTGGATTTGTGATGACGGATGGGAGAGCAGCTCCACGTGTCAATAAGCGAATGGATGCAGAGGTGAGCCCAGAAAGTATATAAGCATAACTGCGCCCCCTATGTTGGGGATGGAACATCATTTTTGGTGAGAGAAACTTACATTCATTCAGCTTCTCTCTTTCTCTCTTCGAGTGTGTGCTAACTTGACCGTCGGAAGGGTTTTCCGGCAACACACCGCCGGGTAGCTCACCGGCGTTGTGTTCTCAAGTTGATCGGATAGACACGGAGCTTGGACAAAAGGAGTACAGACAGCGACGAATATCTCCTCCCCGTACAATATATATGTATATGTATATGCTCCATTTAATTTTTTTTCTTTTCCTCATGCTTATGCCTTTGACATTTTCGTTTTATTTTAGCTTAGCTAGTCCACTGGAGTTTTTCATGGAACTGTTACATGGCCAACATTTTAACAAGAATCCTATTTTTATTTTTGTGTATACTTTAACATATTTATTTTTTAACTTAGTACATAAATGGTCTTATGAAGTTTGAGCCTCAGTTTTTAATGTACAAGCTTGGTGATACTATGAAATGGTGAGTTTAGTCAACCTAATGGCAATATAGTCAATATATTAGATAAGTATGATTCTGATTCATCATCAATGAAGGGTATGTTTGCAGCTACAACATTAATACAAATTTTATTTTTTATTATATAAATTAAGAAAAGTTCAGAGAATGTTTTTCTTTTTTTTTTCTTTTTTCACTTTTAGAGGTAATTATAGAATACTTTTAGAGCACTCATGTGATATTACTTATGAGGTGATCCAAATTAATGACATAGCAGAAAATTTTACAGGCAAGACACGGTGACTCACATTTGTTAAATAATTAAGAGAGACGGAATAACAAACTTAGTATATATATTGTGATTTTTCATTTATCAAAAATATTAATAAATTAAAGGAAAAATTATATATATATAAAATTAAAAAAAAAAACCTCAATGTTTGACCCTTGAATCAAAACAAATTCTGAATTTTGTATTTTGTATTTTATCAAATTAAATCCTAAATTTAATGATTTAAATATAGTCAAAAAGTCCTCATTTTAAAAGATTTGTTTAAAAATATAGCAACTCTAATATATATATAATAAAGTTTGAAGAAAGTGAGCTTCAAGTGAAAAACTACAAAAAAAAAAAAAAAAAAATACCAAAAAAAAAAAAAACAAAACAAAACAAAACAAAAACAAAAACAAACAAACAAACAAACAAACAAAACAAAACCAACATTGGCAAGTGAGCTCAAGTAAACATTATTTTTCTAGGAGGGTCCAGATTTTGGATTGAATGATGCTATTTGGACTTGAAACGTCTATTATAGGTCTCATTTTGATAATTTGAATTATTTATTTTGTTAGACACTTTATGTATTTTGTCTTTAAAAAAAATTAAATCGTTTTGATAATTGTAACTTGTTCAATTTATTGCGTTTGTCCCTAAAAAAATGTATGGTTTATTTTTAAAAACACAATTGTTGTTTATTTTTATAATGAAAAATTGAATAAGTTACAGTCATCGAATCGACTTAATTTTTTTCATGATGAAATACATAGTGTCCAACAATATGAATAGTTCAAATCATCAAAAAGGGACCCGTGATAGATCAGACGGGCCAAACAACGCCCTCCAATCTAAAATCTAGACTAAACAAAATCCTTCTCCATTTTTTTATATTTTATATTATGGTTAGCCAAGTTGTAAAATTTTAATTACCATTTTCTGTGCCGACAAAGATACACACCTATATATTATTTATTAATAATAGATCTGCCTGGGGTCTAAAATCACACCAAGGATCCTCTAGAGTATTTTTTTCTTAAAGTTTTTTAAAGTGATGTATTGTGTGGTTGAGATTTAATGCTGAAAAATTGATGTGACTTGTTATTAAATCTCAACCACACAATGTACCACTTTAGAAAATTTTAAGAAAAAAAAAACTCTAAAAGATCCTAAAATCAGTCCAACGCACTTTGCAAAGGTTCAATTTTTTAGTCCTTATAAATCTTGTACTTTTAACAACCTCTCCCAAATAAAGTTATTGGATGAGAGATTTATAAATCAACAATGTTAAAAATACATAAATTAAACAAAAAAGTGGACACAAACTATATATATATATATATTGAACTCATGATATATTAAAAAATCAAGCAATAGCCTCAGATATATTCAGAGACAGTAAAGCAATTAGAGCATGAGGAGGACGATCAACACAACTCACAGGAAGAGTTTGCTTGGCAAGAGCATTAGCTACCCAGTGAGCTACTTTGTTGTTGGCTCTCCTCGTTATTACTCTCAATTTCTACCACATCCAGGTTGTGTGCTTGAGTGGACACTATTTTATAAAATTATTGACAGGGTCTACTTTTCAAAAATCTTATTTATTTATTTATTTTGTGTATCTGATTTTATGTTTGGCGTATGTATTTCTAGGCTTATTGTTCATAAATTATTGAAAAAAGTAAAGTAATTGTAAAATATAAAAACATATTTAAGATTTACTTAAAATACGAATTTGCCTCTTGTAGTTTCCGAAAGGGTTTGGCTTCTCTCAAATTGTTATCTCAACTTGAGAGAGCATTTAGGCTTAGTAGATCCATTTTGGAATCGATTCCGATGATCCGAACTGTTCACTGTTCACTTTTTATGACTTGTTAAGTAGAATATTCATGTAAAAAATCAAGATGATTAGACATTAACAACTATATATTTAAATCATATTTGTTTTAAAAAAAAAAAGATGATCAATATATTTTCAGGAATAACCATTCATTTTTTGTAAATATAAATTTGATTCAAATATATAGCTACTGATATCCGATCATCTTAATTTTTTGTATGAATATTCTACTAAACGAGTCCTAAAAAGTGGACGGTTTGAATTATCGAAATAAGACCTATGATGGTTTCCATAGATCTCTCAAGTTTTTTTTATGTTGAGATCTCAACATGAGAGAATGTAAATTACATCCAATCCGTTCGACTTTCTAATTGCACAGCAAATGGCCAATTTAATTAATAAATTATCAAATCAATTAATAATTTTTAATAATATCATAAATATATTTCAATTAATAATTCAAATAATTTTATCACTGTATAGGAGAGTAGTTAGGTTATTTATTTATTTATTAATTCTATTAAATAAAAAATTCTAATAAGGAGATATTTTTAATTTTTTAATTAACAATTTAAGTAATTTTATTATTGTATAAGAGAGTAGTTAGGATTTTTTTTTCCCTATTAATCTTGTTAAATAAAAAAAAAATTCTAACAAATAGATATTTGTAATTTTCAAAATTATAGGAATAATATGTATTATACGCACATCTTAAGTGTGTTTGTAATTTACCTTTCTTTTAAAAAAATAATTTTTCAAAATTTAAAAAATATATATTTTTTATATTTGTTTTCAGGACAATGCTACATCTATATAATTTCTCTCCCCTGATATCTCTGAATGAGGTGCTGGTAAGAGAGAATCCATGTAAGAAGAGTTTTCAAATTTTACCTGCCACGTCGACGTGAAAAGAAAAGATTGGGTGAATGAATTATTTTTCTTATTTTTTATTAACTAATTTCTAATTGTAGTAATAATATGAATCCACATTTCATTATCAAAAAAATTATTCAAATTTATCATTTTGTGTTTTAAATTTATTATATATATAAATCTTATACTATATATATTTAGGACTGGTTTGGTATAGACTATATAATTCATCTTTTTATCTTTTTTTCATCACATCACTTCTCTACTTTCCTACACATATTTTTATAAAAAAATAAAAAATACGCTTTTTCAAGGCAGCCCAAATAATATGGATTTCTAAACGTATTGTTGTAATTATTATTTTTAAATTAAAATTTAAAATTTAAACTTTGAAAAACTCATCGAACAGAACGTGATTCATATGAATATTAACTAGTATAAAAATCAACTATTAGGATGGCTTTCGTGTTCAGCTTCCCAGCCTTTGCTTGCTTGTCTTCTTTTGGAGTATAATTGTGTTTTGCTGCAAGTTCTTTTTTTTCTTCTTCATCATCAATTGCCCTCATCATTGTTCTGAAAAAAGTGTGACAGAGAGAGCAGTAATGGCAAAGATGAGTGGCATAGAGTCTATACATATACTGATTCTGTATTTATCGACGATCTCTCTGACAATCGGAGCAAGTGCGGTGCCAGTTCGGCCCCTGTTGCAAAATCAAGAGAAACCCAGTTCCAATATCTTTGATACTTCCAAGTATGGCATTCTTAACCTCAACAATGGCTTGGCTCTCACTCCTCAGATGGGGTATGTTTACTCTTTTTTTCTTTTCTTTCATCAAACCCCATTTGTTGATTTTGTCTGATTTTTTAAAACCCCATTTGTGGATTTTGTCTATTTTTTGTCTTTCACTGATAAATGCTGTATAGAAGCAGGATCGAAGAGTGTAATTCGAGTCCAAAGAGAGAATTCAATGCCCAATTCTGTTATGGGATTGTAAGATTATTGTAGTGATTAAGTGAATTTTTCAAAATTGGGTTTGGCTTATCTGTTTTAATTGGTTGAGGAAGGAGTGTGTGTGTGTGTGTGTGTTTAACTGTGTATTTTTGTACGCATGTATGTATTTGTTGATTGTATGATAATTAGGAATTGGGTTTTGCATATGGGCTTTAGTTTTGGATTTTGGATTTCTTTAGCAAGTTACTACTTACTTTAGAGTTGGAGATTATTTGATTTGATTGTGTATGTTTGAGGCAGATGGAATAGCTGGAATTTCTTTGCATGCAACATCAATGAAACAGTTATCAAGGAAACTGGTATTGTCTTGCTCTTTGTTGGAATTGATAATCAAGTTTTTATGATGAAATTTTTTTGGGATGTGGGTATCTTATGGAATTTGGATGAATCTGTTAGTTGAAGAATGGCTGCAAAGGCATATTAGATCCCGTGATGGGTTTGCTAGAATTGCAATGATTTGCAAGTAAAAAAAAGAAAAAAGTTTTTTGTACTTACTGAAATGGTTATTGTCAGAGTTATTGTGGTTCTTCCACAGCCATGGTTGTGAAAGCATCTGAATCACCTATTGAATAATCCCGTGCAAGAAAAAAGTTTCATGTGTCTGGATCTCCATTTTGGAATCCTATGCAGATTTTGTTGGGATTTTCTGTCAATATAAAATAGGAAAATATTTATTAATATTAAATTGGATTTTTCATTGGGAGATTAAAGGAAAAGCCACATGGGGTATGATGCAATGTTGGATTGCATGCATGGTTGGCATAATAAATGGCTATATGGATCATTGTTGACACGACAGATGCATCTTTACATGGTAATGATCTCTGGGACATGTAAAGACTTGATGTTGGTTTCATACCATTGGTGGCATCAATACACGGCTTGTTTAGGCAGATTGCATGGAGCACTGAAAATTACAGTTGTATATGGGTGAAAGAGAATGGTGAGGAAAATGTGTAATTGAGTTGTATATGGGCGAGAGAAAAATACAGTAACACCAGGATGAGCAATGGCTCAACTACCTTGACATAGGGTTCGGGTAGTGGTGTGTGTTTTGCGTATTTTGGCCATCTCACATGTACTCTTTATTCTATGTTTATAGTGGATTTACCTCTCTCTCTCGTGGATGTAGGCATTTGAGCCGAACCACATTAAATATTGTGTGTGCATATTTTTATTTGGGGATTTATTTGCAACAGATTTTAAACGTATAAAACATATAGGAAAGCTTGCACTTCATTTACTTCAATTATTTATTGTTATTTATATGTATGCCTATCTAATAAATTGATGCCTATACACGCAAAAGGGCAATTAGATGAACACACTTTTGCAGTTTGCTTGCTTTGAATGCCTGTATAGAAATACCCAAAAAAAAACAAGAAAAAGAAAAAGAAAAAGCGTGTACACCCATACAGGGAATGCTATTTCTATCATGTTTTCTATACTCAATGTGACAATTTCCCAAATACTAACATCTGTTCTCTTTGACAGCCGATGCGCTTGTCTCAACTGGTTTGGCCGATTTAGGCTATGTTTATGTAAACATAGGTATTCTTTCGCTTGATTTATCTATTTGATTCTCCCTCACAACTTGGTTTATGTTTCATACTAACCAAATTTCTTAAGAAATGCAGATGATTGCTGGTCAGCTCTAAAACGAAATTCAGAGGTCAATTTTTATCCTACCACATTTATGTTATGGTTTGTTTCCAACATTATAGTACCGGATCAATAGTAGAATGTGCCAGCTACCTTTGCTGTAAATTCTCTTGGTGGGTAATGTGCCAGCTACTATAGACTTGAGAAGATTGAATCCCATCTTTATTCCCCATTGGGGGGTAATTTGCAACCCATAACCATTGGACCAAATAAGGAAGAGCAAAGTACACAAACAAAGAATTTGTACAAATTTTTTTTACAGAATGATATGGCTCAATGTGGACTTTTTACTTTTAAACAAAACACTCATTAAGATAACTTTTATTTACAAAACTGACATTGCCATATCATTCTTGCGGGGTTTTTTATTTTTTTATTTTTTTATTTTTATTTTTTAATAGAGTTATCCAAAAGCAAATTAAACAATTGTATACCTTGTGGTCTATTAGGAAAACATCTTCTTTCTCTCGTTAGGACTTTGTATTGTACTAATGTTTGCTTTCCTTGAGTAGCTTTTTTTCCAATTAAACTTATTGAAATTGTTATGGAGGGCATATGCTTATTAATATAAAGATATTGGTTGTTAAGTTTAGAAATGGTAAATACTGAATTGTAAAGCCCAGGTATAGTAAATAGTCTCAACTTGCTCTGAATTTATATCATTGGAAATTGGTTTTGCAGGATCAACTAGTCCCTGATCCAAAAACTTTTCCATCGGGAATTAAAGCTCTTGCTGACTATGTACATGAGAAAGGCCTCAAGCTTGGAATTTATTCTGATGCTGGGTAGGATGAATTTCCTAATATCGGGTCAGAAAATTAGAAGTTATATCATGACGGAATTATTATTTTATTCTTATTTCAATTGTTCTGTTTAGCTGTTGCAACCCCCTTTCTGTCTCCTGACTTATTCAACTGGATTTTGTAGGGTTTTTACATGTGAAGTTCGACCTGGATCAATTTACCATGAAAATGATGATGCACAGCTCTTTGCCTCTTGGGTTAGTTTGTGACTATCTTATCAAATATAAGAATCTTATTTCTCCAAAAATCTGTATTTTCTGGACAGCAAGGAAATCTTAGGTCTAAAATATCAAGGTTAGGATTTGTAAAGATCTTAGGGTTTTAAGGATTCACTTAAGGTAACAAAAAGGCTAGTTGTGGCTCTTATTTATGCAAGGTTTGCTGGAATTTAAACAAATAAGAAGAAACTTTAGAATCTCACTGAGGTTTTCTAGGAATCTCACCTAGAAGGATTTAATGGAGCCTCACCACATAAAAATTAAGCAAAATATGCACACACACACACACACCAAAAAAAAAAAAAAAATAAAAAAAAAAAAAATCAATATCTAGATTTGTATAATTGTTGCTACAAGCTAGCTTATTTAGAAGTTGAGAGTATTTAGGCTCTTGCTTGACTGAGAATTTCCTAAAATTCTTATTATGAAAGGATTTCCAAAACTAACTACCACTTGAACATATTCCAAATAATAAAGGACATTTAATAAACAAATACCTAAAAAATTTGGACTCTAAATTAAAAAATTACCAATTTTCCCCATATCTGGAAATTAAAAAGATACCCCTGATCAAATAATTTTTATTTTGCCATCTTTTAGCATATAATCTAGTAGGGACTGATCCCATCACACTTGATATGAAAGTGAATATCATGTCATACAAATTTTGAATCCATCATGATGCATAGATTTGGATGAAAATTCTCAGTTACCACATATTCTCTCTATGGACTTTCAGTTATTGATATTTTATGTCGTGTTATTCAGGGTGTGGATTATTTGAAGTATGACAACTGTTTCAATCTAGGAATCAAACCTGAGGAAAGGTTTGGCTCATTTTGTTCTTGTTGAATTTCAAATCCTCATAGTTCATTTTCTATAAATTTTAATGTGGTTTCATAATTCCAGATACCCACCAATGCGTGATGCTCTAAATGAAACTGGACATTCAATCTTCTATTCAATTTGTGAATGGTAAATTCGGGTTATTGGTTATGTCGTATAGCTGTCTGAGTTCATTTAGTTGCATCTTAACAACACTCTCTGTCTCTTCTTTTTGGGCTTGGCAGGGGTGTTGATGACCCTGCATTATGGGCTGGCAAGGTTGGAAATAGTTGGCGAACAACAGACGACATCAATGATTCATGGGCAAGGTTTTAAATTTCTGGAATCCCAACAACCCTTGGGTGGTATAATGAGCAAAATCTGTTTGTTAAATGTTCAAAAATCACATTTTACACAAAAATATTACATTATAACTCAGTCACATTCTCTTATTTCTTTTGTAAATTGTAAGGGAAGAAGAAATAGAACTTATGAGTAATGTGTCCCTAAGAAAGATGGAAATTTGGATACTCATAGTGATGAATGGTGACAGAATTTGTGCATTTTGCTACTTACAATCTGACTCACCTCACCCTTATGGAGGTCTGGTACAAGGCCTTGAGCCGCTAAATGTTTAGATCACGGATTTGGGAAAGAGAAAATTTTGGCTTATATTTCATTTACATCTCCCTCATCTTTTGCCTTTTACATTCCAAATCATTATCAAAATCCACGATCCAAACACAGCCTAAGTGGAAGCGGATTACCACAAATCTGAATAATTGCTTGGATCACGAGCCTTCACAAATGATCACAAACCCACAAACCATGTAATAGCACTTTCAAGCCAATCGGTTGGTTACTAGAGTTCTCCATGATTTTCACACTCCAAGGCTCTCTGATAGTAGCTTTAGAGAGATTAAACAGAGAGGAACGGAATATCTTTCTGTGGAGTTTTTCAGTCGTCGTTATGTACAATGTATTCTTTATGTGTATATAGAGATAGTCTCCTACAGATAAGGGATGCTGTATAGTCATCTACAACCACCTTACATCTATGGCTGAGATCCCTTTATTTAAATATATGAGTCTGTCAAATAAATCAACTTGGCACTTACTGATATTGATAATGATAAGAGCACCAATAGCATATGCAGTGATTAATCATTAAGTAGGCTAGTTATAGCTATATATAAACTTCAGTTTTTTTGTGTTTCTAACTTCAAAAGTTAGGCATCAAATCCATGATGCAAGGTCCATATTGTCTCGTGGGCTATGGAGTTAGCCTTTTGAAATCTCATTGCAGATCAGGCATAAATCAGATACATTGGAATTTAACCCCTTATAGCTTTTACAGAAATTTCACTGCTTACATGATGCAAATCTAATCAAATGCATTTTTTATTTGAAGATTTTCTCCTTTCCAAAGAATGGGAGGTAGCTAGTTTTCTTCATGGATGTCATCATTTGCATGTACGATTAATTGATGAGCTTTACGGCCCAAATTTGTAAGAAAGAACTGTAGTCAGTTTTTAGGAAACTTTTTGTTAACATTTAACAAAAGAGTGCTTGTAATGTGTGTGCACACTTGTATTTACATTCACATGTAGTTCACTTGCCAAGTAAATCTTTACACTGATTGAACCTTTTTTTTCGTATTCTGTTTAGCATGACTACCATTGCTGATCTTAATGACAAGTGGGCAGCCTATGCTGGTCCTGGTGGATGGAATGGTAAGAATGTGATCTTTGCAAAGAGTTTTGAGTGTGGTCGTGGCTATCAGTCTCCACTTGTGTGTGTGAATCTGGATTTTCATTCTGCACATCTACCTTTCTGGCAGATCCGGATATGTTAGAAGTTGGCAATGGTGGCATGACTTACCTGGAGTACCGAGCACATTTTAGCATCTGGGCTTTGATGAAGGTGTTCTTTATGAAATTCTTGATTTTTATCTACTCTCTCTCTCGTTTTTCCTTATATACTCTTGCTTATGCTATTGGATTATTTTGGTGGAATCAGTGAACCGTGTGGCATTCTATTTTTTTTCTTCTTTTTCTTCTTCTGATTGCTAGACTAATTATGATTGCATCTGCTTCATATCATCTTTGTATCTCATTTAGAAACTACTTTAATTCCATCAAATTTTTACCTTCTGGGTACCTTTACCATATATTATTTTACCTTTTTTAGTTGTAACAACTTAAAATTGTTTTGCTTGAATATGCAGGCTCCACTTTTGATTGGCTGTGATGTAAGAAACATGACTGCGGAGACATTTGAATTACTAAGCAATAAGGAGGTTATTGCTGTGAACCAAGGTAGACTTTGGTTCTCTCTTTGTTACTCTGTCTCTCTCTTTCTCTGTAGGAAGGAGAAACGGTTGGAGTAGTGAGCAGCTTAAGACCTTTGCTTTAATTTTCTAGTTTAAAGATTTCTTTGCATGCCAAATAAATAAACGCGCACCACTCTATGAATACATTGGGTATCATACTGAGAAAACTTAGTAGGATTTGTCTCTTTCTGCAGACCCACTTGGCGTTCAAGGCAGGAAAGTGCATGTTGCAGGAACAAACGATTGCCACCAGGTCTTTCCATCTTGAACCTCTTTAACTTTGTATCATTTGTGGTGATAGTTACAACCCAAGATAACAGCATATCTTTGATAGTACCAACTTGTAAATATTTTCCTGTTCAATAGCTATTAGTCCAAATATGTTGGGAAAGAATTTGAGTTTGACCCATCATAGAAATCACTCTTTTAGTGCAGATTTAGATGCATTATTTCACGTGTTCCAAGAAATCGAATTTGTCAATTGTTTTCTCATTACAAATTGTATTTTCATTCAACTAGTTGAAGGAGCAGTTGCAGGTATTGAGTGTTGTGAGGGCTTTCATTTGACTGAAAGAAAGAATGTTAAGATGGAGATATCCTTCTGACGAACAAAGAAAACAAGGTGTTGGAAAGAAATAAAAGGGACATAGAATTCCTGAGATAAGACTTTCATATATTAAGGAATCCACCACTTGGGAGGTTAGCCTCTGAATCATCCTCAAAAGCCCTGTTATTAGAATCGTACGATTCGCTATTCGAATCGTACGATTCGATTCAGTAGGTAATTGATTCAAACAGGTTGTGTGAATCGCAAATAGCTATGAATCGTAGGTGAATCGGTGAATCGTGAATCAATTCGATTCGCTAAAATCGATACTTGGCTTTCTTTTTTGGTTTTTTATTGTTAAAAAATGGTTCACACAACCTTTTTAAGGTCTCTAGGATTACTATATGCCGTCTTTTGACTTTCTCCCTCCCTATTTATTCTCAAATACTCAAACCTTAGCTGCAACAAATGAACTTTCTCTCTCTACAATACTCTAGGCTTCCATATTCAATTTTATCTAAGTACTTGCATTTACAAAATGAATTTTTTGAAGGCATCAAGTGAGATTTTTAAAATTTATGAAGATTTTGGTTTTTTAATTTTGTAAAAGGTTAAAAACATTGTTGTTGAGTTATTGTTACTTGGAAATTAAAGTTTGTCTTTATTTACTTTCTTTATTAAGAACGGTTGATAAGAAATAGTATCTAAAAGGGAAAAGGTGAAGTGGTAAACATGGGAACCAATGTTAACTTCTTATCCAGACCACATGATCATCATTTAAAACAATATATTTTTATCGATTTAAGTCTAAATATTTCATATTTATTAGATATATTTAATATCAAAGTGTATAGATATATTTTCTATGTAATTAAAAAAAGGTGACCGAATCTTTATGATTCACAATTCGATTTGTGATTTGGTACAATACTATTTCGATCCACAATTTGAATCCTGATTTGATAACTATGCTCAAAAGAAGCAGCTATATTCTAAACATATGCCTTGTGATAGATCTCATTGAAAAGTCAAGGAGATAAAAAAATCTATTGGCAGTCTAGGATACTCACTTTTCAAAAAAGAAAAAAAGAAAAAAAAAAATAGTAGCCTGATACTTGGGTTGTGTTTAGGTGAAGGATTTGAGTGGGGATTTGTGGAGGGAAAGAAAAAGGGAAGGGAAAAGTGAAAAATTTTAACTTCTATTTCATACACTTTTCCCATCCTTTTTTCTTTTCCCTTCACAAATCCCTTCCCAAATCCTTGATCCCACCACTGCCTTAAGAGATGCTTAGGAGTGTGGTAAGAAACCCCCAAAAGAGCAAGTAGCTCACCTTTATGGGTCATGTCCAGATTAGCTGATTAAAAAGTTGGAAATTGATAGTGCCTTCATGGTTATTGCTTATGCCTACTCGATCTGAATTTCAAATTCTACAACCATCACAAATTCATCTTTACATACATCAGTGTGGCTGAAGTACTGGGCCAAAGGAAACAACACATAACCATCTCTGAGAATTTCCTGATGATGGATTCCTTTCCATTTGGGAGACATAAAGCCACAAAAGAAGCCAAAGCTTTATTACTTCTACTGGCAGCTGAAGAATTGAAGTAATCATGAGTAAATTCTCAATGTTGAGCATACAGCCCTTAACAAAGTGGAATGATGAAAATGTTTTATGTAGCCAACCCCACTTGATTGAGACACAGCCTTAGGGGCAGTGGATGGGCACAGTGGCTTACGGCTCTTTTTTGTTCTTGTAATTTATTTTTCTTTTTCTTTTTCTTCTGGTTTCTTTTATTTTCTTTTTTTTTCTTTCGTCTTCTTCTTCTTCTTTTACTGAATAAAAAAGGGGAAATAAATATCTTAGTTTATAAAATATGACTCGGTCTTCAGGTTTGGGCTGGTCCTTTGACTGGACAAAGTCTGGCTGTTGCTCTTTGGAATCGATGTTCAAAAGCTGCAACTATTACAGCTGCTTGGGGTGCACTTGGACTTGAATCCTCTACCAGTGTCTCAGTGAGAGATTTGTGGAAGGTAAGAACACTGGCCTGCATAGACAAAGTATATTAGATGGTGTGTGTCACTTAAATTTTAGCCTCAGGTACAGGCTCTGATACAATTCCTCAAGACATTGTCCTAAAGATTTGAATTCCCATCCTGTAGTGTCAGGTTGCTACCACACACTCGAAAATTCCCAGATTTTAGTCTATTGTGGCCCCAAATCTGAGTCCTTATTGGATTATGCACCATTGTTACTATTTGATTAGCAAATACACTTTTTTAAGCTCTTTGTTTAGTGACTATGCTTCAATGCTTTCAAAATTCCTTTGAAATCCTTCTGACCACAAACTGTTAGTTTGAGTGGTACCTCTTGTCACTCGATGAGTGGAAGGATGCAAGGTTCAAGTTGTGACATGGATGTGTGCGCACGTCTTATTAAAGAAGGAACAGTGTTCTTTTAACCCTTGTGGATCTGTACATAGAAAATTGAGATACCTCTAGTTAAAGTCAGTGGCTTTTAGAGTTTATGGCATCCAATATTTGTTTCATTCATTATTGTTAAAGTTAAAAAAGAAATTAGCTGTTAACTTGGTCTTGCTGTACTTGTAGTTAAATAGTTAATTTGGAAATGGACCTGCTCAACTTTTTCTCCCTGGGCTAGGTTAGCATCTATGAAGCAGGGATACAATATAGATACAAATACGGCAATATGACAAAAATTTTAAAAATAGGATGCGAGTACTGCGAGCATATGTCGAATTTTTTTTGTTATATAATGTATTATATTGTACATTAGCTTAAAGAATAATGAGAAACTATTCTGTACGAATTAAATTTTAGTTTAAGAGCATATGGTCTATTTGATCTTTTTATTTTTTTTTCAATGAGTAGATTAATTTATAAATCTGCAAAAGTAAGAGTACTACTCTAGTCTCACAATTTTCTTCTATGGAAGGACATAAAAAAATATTAAAAATTATTCTTGTATTTATTATAACAAATATACTTTAATACTATGCAAAAATTATTACAATTTCAATCTCATAATAGTTTGAATATGTGACTTAAGAGTGTCCAAAAAGTGTTTGATGCTTCTTAAAATTAATATTAAGTATTGGATATGTTTAGAAAGTATAGTATCCGTGGAGTATCGGTATCCAATTCAAGTACGATATAGATATGACTTCCTTTTAAAAGTATTGTGCTTCATAGGTCAGCATGATATAATTGACTCTGAAGATTGGAGTCGCCATTTCTATCAGCATTTGGATTATAATTGGGGTAAGACTATATTCATCTTGTCTTTCCCAACTCCGCTAGCAAGAGTCTCGTGCATTAGGTTGCTTTCTTTTTTTTTTTGGTTTTTTTTTTTTTTAATTTGGTTGTATTAGATGAGAAGACATCAGGTTAACCGTATGAAAATGTTTTCTAGCAGTTGATTGGTTTTCCAATATTACTGTTTTGGCTAAATTGTTTGATTAGTTTTTTTACCTGTCAGCTGTAGAAGTTTACCCTATTTCTAATATTTTAACTGGTTACAGCATCAAGATGTTGTGGGAGATGTGGTGGCATCATTTAGTGCTCAAGTTGATGCTCATAGCTGCGAGATGTACATTTTCACTCCCCAGACAGCGTCTTGCTCTACGGTTTAAGTTCATAATATTACTGGCTTCATTTATTGCTTGGCTCAACTTTCCAGCAGTCAGGTTGATCTTTTCTCCTTGGTTGTGAAAAAGTGTGTGCGTGCATTTCTAATTTTGTTTGCAGTTGGCATCCAGCAACAATAAAGATATTCATGTCACCATTGTAAAGTTTACTTGGACAAACTGCAGATGATCATGTCATTTAAATTACATCCTTGGACTTGTAGCAAATAATACGCTCTCAATTTTCGTTGTCCAATTTTCATTGGTGAATTTCTAATGTCCAATTAGAACACCATTGCTTTCCCCGGTAATATAGGAAAACCCTATGATTTCACCATCCCCTACTACGAGGGTGCAACTAGAATGAATGCAGTCCTTCGCATAATAAGTTGAGTAATGATTAATGCCAATGAAGTCGATACTGCCCTTTATATAGTTCACTTCTTTAGGAGAGAAGGTAGGTAATTTGTTTCCATGGTAATGCCGCATTTCTGGAGGGTAATCTCCATATACTAGGGGATCAAATACCCTGTTTCACAATAGTAAAGAACTACTTGTGGGTCAAAAATCTTTTTTGTCATCATTGCATCAATAAAAGATATAAGTGGAATCCACTAAATCAAAACAATAGTAAAATTTGACATGTTAAAAAAATTTAATTACACAAATGTGATCATCGTAATAATGACTTAATTCTGAAAATTTTCTAGAGTAGTATTAAATATGAGCGATTTTTATCACCATTTCATTTGAAGCAAGATATGACACTTGCCACAATTCATCATCTGTCATTGGCTCGTACGTGAATGCACATGCCACAATTCCTATAAATCCATCTTGTTTTGGCTGCGCCAACATCACTTTCATTAGTCAAATTATCAAATATAGTACTATATATAGGGGCTACCTGAAAGCACTCACGTCACGGTAGAGCTTGGTAGCCTTGGCATGTGATGGTAACATGTTGTGCATTGCAATGGGTTGCTCCATGTTAGAATTGCTAACGGAACAGTTTCCATAAGGTTCAGAACAATGAGACGGTGGAAATATCCCCTCTATGTAGGCCAATTCTACGAGTAAGTTAGGCTCATTGATTGTGATCCAGTACTTCACTCGATCCCCAAAGTTCTTAAAACAAGTTTCAGCAAAATGTACAAAATCTTCCCTACAAAAACACAAACATGTATATAGGTAGAGATTTTAATGACAGTTCCTCCAAAGATTGTCGATGATTTTGTTATAGAACATGACACCAGTTGGATTGACTTCACCAAATCTACCTCCTAATACAGCTCAAGAAATCTTTAATCAACTTATAAATATGAACCAACCAGTGTATGAATAACTAATATACAGTAACAAGTTGTTTTAGAAGACAAACTAGGTAGAACTCTGGCCCATGAGATTGAGAATCTGTAAGCATCAACCCCTAAAGAATGCGTTATCTCAATGTCTTCCTGTAATAATCAGAATAAAACAAAATTAATTTCAGTCTCTTTTTTCAATGTTACAGACTAATTATGAAATTAATGCAAGTCTAATACCAAGTAACGGTGATAATGATCATTGGCAACATCTCCATTTGCTCCATTTCTTTGGCCATCTAACAGAATTCAACAAACAGTTAGTCAAAATCCAATTATGTTACAGTTAGCTTTTGCTGGCATTTTAGATGAGACCTTTCTTCAATTACCTTGAATGTGAGTGAAATTATCTCAGTTGCTGAGACTCTTACCGTCTTCAAAAAATGCTCCTTCAATCTGTGCCAAAAATATGGCAAAAGTCTAAGGAAGAGAGAGAGAGAGAACACAATTTACACAATTTAGAAGGCAAGAAGAAGAAGAGACATACTTGGTATGAAGAAGTGGATGTTCCAAAGAAGAAACCATGTGGGAATTCTGATCTTTTGATGTCTTGTGCTGTCAATTCTTCATTGAAGCTCCCAACAAAAGAATGAATAGATGATAAAAGGAGGAGAAGCAAACAGAGGTAGAAATGGGTACTGTTCACTTCCATTTTGGATTGTTTTAATTTGTCAAGATTTCATGATCGGTGTAACTAAAAACAACAAAATTATAGACATTCAGGGCATTGGCTCAGTTACTATATATTTTCTTCATAGATTTGGAAAAGGGCAATGATAAGTGAGTGCTACCACCTGTAGCCTATAGAGTGGGACCCACGTTGATTGCGTTCAGAAATGTGCTGCCTTTTTTATTTTGTTTTTTAGATTTCTTTTTTGTATTTAAGTAAGTATTTTTAGGAAAATTACATTTCAGTAGTGCAGTGATTATTTTTATTATTTTTTTTAATTTTTTAATTTTTTAATTTTTTTCATGGTGGTGTAATTTTTTTGTGTGCATGTGCAAATTCATCATGTGTCTTAGAGGAGAAGTTACTTGGTGCATGGTGCAAATTCATCATGTGTCTTGAAACACCGTCACGTTGTGCCCTTAATGTGTTGTGATTGGTGAAAGGGACGTGACCCACAATGTTGGGTGATTGGAAAATATAAGGAAGCATGATAGATTGTGATTGACCAGGGGTGTGGCCACATGACGCCCCTGGACCAAGAAATAATTTTTCATGTCAAAATTGCACCACTAAAAATTTCATTTATAGTGCAATTACTTTTCTACTATCACAATGTGACTGATTTGCTATTTCCCTTTTTTTTTTGTACATATATTTTATTTTTAAATACATAAGTTAGGTATATCTAAAAATATTCATTAAAACATTATAAAAAAAATCATTAAAAGACCAAAAATATGAAAAACAAAAAATCAAAAAACAATTTAAAAAAATAAATCAAGCAAGATAATTTTATAGACTAAACCAACCAAAAACCACACACTCAACCATAAAATATAAATATATTATATAGTTAATTCTCTATTCATAAAACTATTATGGAAATCATGTCCGTCTTGTCTTTGTCATGATTAGACAAGTTTAAACAAAATTGTATGGAAAATGAGTTGAACCCCGCAGTGGGGTGACCCCAGCACCCCCATTGTTTTGTGATTGGATCAAATTTTTTTTTTTTTTTTCTTTCTTTCGGCAAGTCATAGCCCCCCACGTGGAGGTGGGGGTGCTAGGGGTCCCCAGCAGGACTGAAAATGTATTATGTCTCAATCAATGAAATTAATTATGATCCTAGGTCTATTAAAGGATCTCTTCTATTATTATTAGGGCAAATTACATGGACTCCTTAACAATTACTACTGCCTCCTTATTAGGGATGTCAATTTGACTCTGACCCGATAAGTACTTGACCTCCGACTCCGATTTGAGCAATTTTTCCCAAAAAATATTCCTAACAGGCAGGGGATGGTATTAGAAAATGAATCCCCGATGATATTTGGGCTGGGGACGAGGATACGTTTCCCATCCCCAGACCTGGCCTGACTTCGACCTCGATCCCGACCCCGACCCCGCCCCGTTCCCCCGTTGTAAAATGACTGTTATGCCCCTGTCTATATATATGTGTGTGTTTAGGGTTTGGTTGACAGACACACAAACAGGTCGCCTCCTCTCTCTCTCTCTCTCTCACACACTGCTACTACGTCCCTCATCGTCGATTGTCAAAGGTCTCTCTCTCTCTCTCTCTCGTTAAACTAATAATCGATCTCTATTTTCTTCTGTCAAAGAGTCAATCTACTGGCTGCTGCTCTGCTCCCGTACCGCTCCTCCCTCACTGCTGATTTTCAAAGGGTACTCTCTCTCTCTCGCGTTAAACTAATAATCGATCTCTGTTTTCTTCTTTGAAAGAGTCGATCTAGCGTTTTTGATCTAGGGTTTACATACATACATATATATATATATACTATCACAATGTGACTGATTTGCTATTTCCCTTTTTTTTTTGTACATATATTTTATTTTTAAATACATAAGTTAGGTATATCTAAAAATATTCATTAAAACATTAAAAAAAAATCATTAAAAGACCAAAAATATGAAAAACAAAAAATCAAAAAACAATTTAAAAAAATAAATCAAGCAAGATAATTTTATAGACTAAACCAACCAAAAACCACACACTCAACCATAAAATATAAATATATTATATAGTTAATTCTCTATCCATAAAACTATTATGGAAATCATGCCCGTCTTGTCTTTGTCATGATTAGACAAGTTCAAAACAAAATTGTATGGAAAATGAGTTGAACCCCGTAGTGGAGTGACCCCCAGCACCCCTATTGTTTTGTGATTTGATCAATTTTTTTTTTTTCTTTCTCTCTGCAAGTCACAGCCCCTCACGTGGAGGTGGGGGTACTGGGGGTCCCCAGCAGGACTGAAAATGTATTATGTCTCAATCAATAAAATTAATTATGATCCAAGGTCTATTAAAGGATCTCTTCTATTATTATTAGGGCAAATTACATGGACTCCTTAACAATTACTACTGCCTCCTTATTAGGGATGTCAATTTGACTCTGACCCGATAAGTACCTGACCTCCGACTCCGATTTGAGCGATTTTTCCCAAAAAATATTCTTAACGGGCTGGGGATGGTATTAGAAAATGAATTCCTGATGATATTCAGGCTGGAGGCGAGGATACATTTCCCATCCCCAGACCTGGCCTGGCTTCGACCTCGATCCCGACCCCGACCCTGCCCCGTTCCCCCGCTGTAAAATGATTGTTATGCCCCTGTCTATATATATGTGTGTGTCTAGGGTTTGGTTGACAGACACACAAACAGGTCGCCTCCTCTCTCTCTCTCTCTCTCTCTCTCTCTCTCTCTCACACACGGCTACTACATCCCTCATCGTTGATTGTCAAAGGTCTCTCTCTCTCTCTCTCTCTCATTAAACTAATAATCGATCTCTATTTTCTTCTGTCAAAGAGTCGATCTACTGGCTGCTGTTCTGCTCCCTTACCGCTCCTCCCTCACTGCTGATTTTCAAAGGGTACTCTCTCTCTCTCTCGCGTTAAACTAATAATCGATCTCTGTTTTCTTATTTGAAAGAGTCGATCTAGCATTTTCGATCTAGGGTTTACATACATATATATATATATATACATATCTAAGTGTACAATACATGAAGATTAAAGAGCGTTGATTTATGATGTGAGAAAAAAAAATGAAACCTTTTCTTTGCTTGGAACTGAGCTATGTGTATATATAGGCAGGGTTACTCTCTCTCTCTCTCTTTCTCTCTCTCTCTCTCTCTCTCTTTCACTCTTTTTCAATTCCAGACGATAGAAGTTGGGTTTTCCCTTTGCTTTTTTCTTTTCTTTTCTTTTGGAGGGCTGTATGAGTGTGTTTGTGTTCTTCCTGATAGTTGTTTTTTTGTAC